TGGCACAGAAGCAAGCACACAGGTTGGGAAGCCAGTCATGAGCTTAATTAACAGAAGAACGAAAGAGAGGCAGCACGAGAAAGTGGAATACAGCTAGAAAGGTAAGGACCAAGTAGGGACTTTGTCATCACAATGTGAAGAACTGGTCATAAGTATTAAGAAAAAGCATCCAATGGCGTGCCCCAAAATAAGGATTAGTCGAGGTTTTGAAAAGCAGGGCTAATGGACACACGAGATCCTTTGTCTCCAAGGAAATGAAGCTGCTGAAGGCACAGTTGCTGACAAAATGCAAGTGAGGGCCCCCCATGCTTGCCCAGGCCCCCCCCCAAGCCACCGCTCCCATGACAGGTGCATCTCCTCGTACTGTTTCAGCAGAGGGTGGGTCTCCTCCTAGTGAAAGGAGGTCCTGCCCTGCCCTAAACCCAAGCTGGAAAGAGCTGTCCCAACAACACGGGGCATGCTCATTCCCTCGGCCTTTCTGGGGGTGGATTTGGGGTCCAGTTCCAGTTACTGAGGTGGAAAAGATGTTTGAAGGCCTTCTTGAATGAAGAGATGGCCCTTCCTAGGGGTGGCCTCCCCCATTTCTCTTCTGCCCTGCATCTTAAACCGCAAGTGCTATTTTGCAAACGTGAAACAGGTAACTCGAGGAGAAGCCCTAGTTGCTAAGGATGGCTCCGCGGAAGGACGGGAAGAAGCTGGGGCCTGGACAGCTGACTTCTTGTTGAGTGAGAACAACAGACCCGCATTCCTTTAGGCTGCTGTACATTTAGGTTACTTCACAGCCAAACACATCCCTACCTGGACCTGAATCCGGATTTTCATGATGCTAATTTATCAGGGCAATACCTACTGAGGACCTCAGAGACGGGCCAGTTTGGCTCTTTGCCGGCCGTGTGTCTGAGGACCATCTCTGCCGTGTATCTGTGCCTCAGTGTTCTCATTGTACAGTGAGGGTGGCCACAAGAGTCCCTATCCAATAGGGTCCTGAAAGGTCCTAGGATTCATGGCTGGGCACAGAGAGCATTAGCTTAAGTTTATATTACATTAGGTATGGGTACCTAACTGAAGGCGTGTGCCTCAGCCTGGCTCGGGCCACGGTGCATGGGGGTCGGCCAGCGGGCTCCCCACGGAGCTGGCGAGGGACAGTGCCTGAGGTGTGCTGGCAAAACCTCTGGCTGTGTCCTGCGTGCAGGCCCCGGAGGGACTTCAGATGCTCGCTGGAGGTGGAAAAACTGTTGCGGAAGAATCAGAGGTGCCAGAGGCCCGCCCAGCCCAGGGCCTCTCTCTGTGCCTCTGCACCCCGCTCAGGCCCCCACTCCTTTCACAGCCCAGGTGGTCAGCTGCTCCTGTTCTCCGTGGACATTGCATCCTTAGGACATCACCCATTAATTCAGGTGCTTCTCCTGTTTATTCCCCTGAGCCTCACACAGGTAACTGGGCCCAGTATGCCTGCACCTGCCACCACACGGATCCCCACCCCCACTCTCATTTCAGCATTCACCTGACCCCCAATATCCACTGTGTCATTTTACCAAATGCCACTGGATGCAGCTGAAGCTAAAGATACAGGGACTCCAGCAGGAGTCCTGTGGAGTCTCAGTAAAACCGCGCCCGGGGCCCCCCTTCAAAGCGCAGGAGAGTCTGGTGGCCGGTGTCCACATCCCCGAGCTGCTAGCATGACCACTTCCTACAGCAGCCAGGTGATTGCTCGTTAATGGAAAACAGATCTCACCACCCTGCGTTTGGGAAGTCCTCAAACCACGCTCTCACTCACAGATACAACCCAGGCTCCTTGCAGGGGCTTCGGAGCCCTGAAACCCTGGCCACTGGCTTCTCCCTGCCCTGAGCTGCTGTGTGTCCTCTTGTCCATGTGCAGAATGCTCCTGCCGAGGGCCGACTTCCCCTGACCACGTCACACGATCCCCCTCACGTCCACCCCCACACGGTTTAGTCTCATAAACAGTGGTGGTCACCACCTTCTCCAATTCCCTGTAACGGCAGGCTCACCACTGAATGCCCAGAATAGAACCTCTTCTAAAGAGGTTATCTGTTGAATGTGGTTGCACAAATTCGCAGATGAATGAGTGGACAACCCAATTTCCCCTTTGACCTTCTAGTTTATAGCCCCCCGGTTCCTGAACGCAAAGCCAGGTAGACGTCAGGTTCCCACGGTAAGAGACTGAAGCTGCGGAGAATCCCTCAACATCTAGGCCTTTCTTCTGGGGACAATGACCCCTGCCCCCAACAGGAAGGGTATCCAAGCTATGGAGGGTGCTGGCCATCTCCCTGGGGACAGTCAGTATCCCCACTTCCCACCGCTCACCCGGAGTCTCCGGTCTCCACAAGCAAATCCTAACTCGTCAAGTTGCTGGACTGGGTACCAGTCTTCGATGACATGTGATGGCGGCCACGCTGCGTCCCCGGGGCTCCGGCACACGGAGGCCCCACACCGCTCGCACCAGGCACCAGATGCAACGGCAGCTCTGCGTGGATTCACGGCAGCCAGAGCCTCCCTGCCCGCGAGACACCCGCCCTGTGCCATACTCGGAAGAGGTGAACTACACCAGACCAAGCCCCCGGTCTCTCAAGCTCCCAGGTCACTGAGCAGTTTATGCTGACTCTCAAAGTGCTCAGGGTGTAGAACATGCAGTCGGTGGAAAAGGGAAGCGAGGGTTCTGGATGGCAGGCAGACCCTGGCAGCAGCAGGGTGGGGGACACCAGCCGTCGCATCCAAGAGTGGCCTGAGCTGGTGGGGCCTACGGAGCAGAGGGATAGGTGGCCACGGGGTGGGGACAGGGCCCTGGCTCTCAGTTCGCAGGCCACTGACGCTGGAGACAGAGGCAGCCTGAGAAGACAGGACAGCTCCGTTCTGAGACCAGCCGGGCTTGCATCCCTCGTGAAACTCCCACCAGCACAGGCAGAAATCTCGGCTCAAGAGGGAGACCTCAGCGTGTTCTGGCTCCAGGACTGGTAAGAAGTCTGGGAATCCACTGGGTCCCAGGTCCCCCGGGGAGCCCCCAGCTCACAGCGGATGAGATGCATTCGGGTGACTTGGCGTCTTTCTTAAAACTGCAGCTTGGTTTCTCACGTGTGGACACGGTGACCTGTTCATCCCTCCACAGATATAGGAGGTCTTCTCTCCAAATTAAGCATGAAATCCCTTTCTGCTTTTTATCTGCTGGTTAATCTTACTTCCTTGTTGTTGTTCTTTTCTGACACTTACATTCGTATCCATAAGTCAGAAACTCCACTAATGCAAAATAACTGTGAATGTTCACAAGATTACAGAAACAAATACCTCTGAGCCACCTTCCTTCAATTACCAGCCAGCCAAGCAGCTGGGCCCCAGGGCGCAGAAGTAACCAGATGCCCTCATTCAGGAATAAACTGATTTCTTTGCACCTGGCCGATTCTCACTTTAAAGGCACTGGAGAACTGTGCTCTGCAAAGCCTCAGCCCCACAGTGATGCTCCGGGTGGTGCACACCAGAAACACTTCAGTGCCTGGAAGGTCTGTTTGGAGATGCTTTAAAAATGTCAACAAGAACGACCATCTGATGCGGAGACCAGTGGAGCTCCGTCCTGCCGTACATAGTTTTAATAAAACCATATTTTCTTACAAAACTGAAACTCTTTTGTGTCACCAGGAAAAGCAGACTCAGGAGTACCGTGCTCTGGCTTCGCCTCGTGACCTGGTATCCTTGGAGGCCCCGCTTCCTGGCAAGGACGGGGATGGTGTCTTTACAGGCTCATTTGCCTCAATCTCTGAGTAAACAGGATCCCATCTGCTGCAAACTTCAAAGGCTGGTTTGCAACTTTGCTCAACAAGGGGAAAAATGTGTATTGTTGAGCCGATTCCACAATGTCCTTTTGGTGAAAAGGAGTGTTTCTGCAGATACAAATGTGGTGATTAAAATCCTTCTTCTCTGCACCAATGAGTCAAAGTTGGTGTGCAGAAATTCACATTCCTCGTAAACACAACTCCAGCCACTGACCCATCACCACTGCCCTTGTGCACGCACACCTCCAGAGCACGCAGTGTGGGATCCCAGGCCTGCACCACCTCTCCCGGCAATCGCTGGGCTGCCGTGTGCTCTGACATTGGGCTGTGGTTTGGCAGATGGGGTGAACCGTATGAGTGTGCTGAGTAAAAGCATGAGCTTATTCTCCACTCTTCACCCACACAGGAACGATTCTAATGTGTGGGCTGCCAGTCCACGGTGGGTCACCACATCCCTTACCCCCGTTTTCAGGGTCAGGGACCTGAAGTGGCCCCTTCCCACGTCCTGTCCAATCCTGGCTCGGGGACAGGAGTCAGTCCCCCTGCACACACTGGCCGCGTGCCCCCCTGGCTCCCACACCAGGCAGGGGACGTGGTCCCTGAGTGGCAGGGACCAGGCTCCTACAGACAGAGTAGAGGGCCCACTAAGCCGAGCTGGTCTGTGCCATCCATTAAAGTGATCTTATTAGAAAGATCTCCCAGCTTATGAACAACAACCCCCCAACACTGGAGGTGACCAGAAGTCCCACGTCCCCTTTCCGCTTCTGCACACAGTGACCTCAGTCAGTGGCAGCTGTGGTCTGATCATCCCTCCCGAGGCCCAACGGTCCAGCCGTTCCGGCCTCCCCGCCGAGCCGCTCCTGGAGGGTGGGATGCGATTTTCACCGCAGACCTCCAGGAGCACCGCTGACGGCCAGCAGTGGGGGCAGGTCTCCTTTGCTGTCACCCCGCTGCAAACACCCAGCATCCCAGCCTCGGCATGTGTCCCCAGAGCACTGCTCCCATCGGCCACACAGGGAATCGGTACCTCTCTTAAGGGCTTGCAGTGTCAGCGGAAATGAAATAGGCACAGTCGTGTCAAGGGGAGGAGAGATGAGGCAAAAATAAAATGTCAGCTAAACGATGAAGTAAATGAACAGCAACTGATTTCCATCATTTTCAAACACGTGTTATCTTACAAACTGCCGCGAGGCGTACTTGGGACATCCTGGCCGTGTTACCTGCGTGGCCTCTGAATATCCTCGATATGACGACAGGGACCCTGTGCTCGGCACCTCCCTGGAAGACAGGCAGAGAGAGGGGTCAGGCTCAGCGCAGACCCACACACAGAAAGAATGTCACATGGAAGAATGCATTCATACCTTTATACTCAGGCCCAAGCCACCAACGGGCTCTCTGCGAAGCGTAACAGTTCTGTGCTTTAAAAAATTTTAGAAAACAAAGCAAGTTGAGGTTAAAATGCATGATCAGAGAGCGAATGCAAAATGCAGATATAAATTCATAATTTAAACTTAAGTAACTGTTTAAATTCAGCAAGACACCATTTCACATCCTCAGTCTGTGGTATTACCTAGAGGAACAAAGACCTTGATTAAAAAAACAGGCAAACAAACGACAAACCAGGCCCTACTGCAGCCGTATTTAAAATCCGCGGGCAATCCCTGCACGTTGGCCCTGCCTTCCCGTTCCATGTCAGAGGACCGCAGGCCCATGAGAAACGGCCCACACTCTCCCAGGGAGGGACCAGAGAAGCTGCAACCCATACTCAACCCGCCTTCAAAACCTGCTCTTCCCGCCAACCCCCAGCCTGGCTCCCTCCCACCGTGCCTCTTGCCCAGACCAACCACTTTTAGGCCCATTTTTAAGTAGTCAGTGTTGACCCATGCATGCTGGGCATCACCCTGTCCTCTGACCACGGGGCCGGTGGTGATGAAAAGCTGGAAGCCGAGCAGCACCCGTAACCAACAACGCCCCCAAACCTCTCACTCCAGTAAATCAGCAGTGCGCATTTTGCTTGGTCTAAAGTGACCAATCCTTAACCAGATGCACCAGATCTGTGGCTGAGGGTGAGAAACGGGCCCAGGGGTGGAGGAAGCGGAGGGTCAAGCATGTTCGTGCCTCAGAAGGATTCCATGGGAACATCAAGAATGACTTGCGCTATCTGCTTTCTAACTGACAGCGCAGACGCTTTCGGCCTGAACGGTGGCCAAGAGTGTGCTTGCAGAGCAGGGCAACCGGGGACAAGCCGAGGTCAGCAGGGCCCCGAGGGGCTTCCGCACGAGTGCGAGACCTGCCTGCCGCCAGCAGCGAGCCAGTGGGAACTGTCTGGCCGAGGAGGACGCCGGGTCTGCAGCACATCTCAGGTGTGACTCAGGTGTGACTCCATTCTTGGGAATGAATTCACCATAAGCTCAAAGTAAAGAAACCAAAAATTGGAACAAATACAGCTCCTTTAAAGTGCTCATGTAGGCATCCATTAGGTAACACTTTAATAGAAAATTTTATATTTTGAGCTTCCCTGTGGCTGTAACATTCTCAGCTGTTGATAGTTTATGCAATCACAGTTCGGGGACGCAACTTCACGGCGATGGCTCGTTTTCTCCTCGTCTCCGGGCGCACCCGAGTGACGGTGAGGAGCGGGCCCAGTGCACGCCCGGGACACACTCATGGGGCTCCTACTGGGTCCTTTCCAAGTACTGAAACACCAGCAACCTGCCCCCCGACTCCACACAAAGGGCAGCAGGAGCAGAGGTGATTTAAATCACCTGGCGGGAAGACAGAGATGCTCCTGTGTGTGGGGAGCTTCCCTCCACAAACTCCCAGAGCGGACTCCCAAGTCAGCCAGCGTCTTGGGGAGCGTGAACAAGTGAACAAAGCAGAGGGATATCATTTATTCACACTCTCACTCATTTCATAAGCGCCGAGTTCCTACTGTGTTTGGGGTGACATGGGAATGTGTCTCAGGCTTTCCCAGGAAATACTCTGGGCAAGAGAAGACTGGAAAATTGGGTCATCCGATATTACACTAATCAAAAATCTCTACTATAGGGAATTTGTCGAAATATTCAACAATGGTTTTCAACTTTCCCCATTAACAGAAGCATTTGAACCTCACTGAGAGCAAGCAAATATACATCAGAGAAAAGAAACAAGAGTGTTTCTGTTTTGACAGACTTTGTCACATGACATTATAAATCTGTCGTTTTATTCACACATAGATCTCAAGAGGATCATTCAAAGAAAACATCAGAAAATGGATCACCTGTGGCAAAATGGGTTAACGCACACCAAAACTCTGGACTAAGAGTCCCAAATTCCCAACAGGTGAAAGATGAAAACATTATGTCATCAACTTCTTTAACGTCTCGTTAACAGAACAGAATTATCTGTTATTAAGCCAGAGTACTATTTATTCAAATATTTAGTCGATGCAATCTGTCAAAATTCCTTTTCCAAGCAAATGTGTCTCAGTCACATAACCCTCTGCAAAACTGAATTTCTGCATCTGGAAAATGAGGGTTTTTTTAGATTCCAAACTTCATTCTCCAGAAGTCTCATTATACATTTGATTGTCCTACCATAGGATGTCACTGTGGACCGAACTGTGTCCCCTCAAATCCCTATGTCGAAGTCCCATCCCCATGGGACCGCATCTAGAAGTAATTGAGGTTAGAGGGGTCACAGGCTGGGCCCCGTACACAGGGCTGCTGTCCCCATAGGAGCAGGACGAGGGGGACCCCAGAGCCCTCTGTGCGCTCAGAGTAAGGCCACGGAGGGCACAGCAGGAGGATGCTGTCAGGGAGAGAGCACCTGACCTGTCCTGTGTGGGCAGCTGGGCCCACAAAGACGAGCCAGCCGAGGGAATTACGGGAAACCACCAAGTTTCACAGAAACCTCTGGATGGCAAGTCTCTGGGTGAAAAGTTCTTCTTCCCGATCTTCCAACTCCCTCAAGGAGCGTGGAGGAATCTCGCATTTCACCGTTGGGAGGAAAGTTCAGCCAGTCCGTGTTCTCACAAATGAAGAGCATGTAACTACTAGGGCTCTAGAATGATTGTGGTGTTGTCATATTTAAGAATTTTGTTTTTCAAAACAAGATTTGTAAAAATTGGTTCATGGTGATGAAACCGTCCACAGGGTGGCCTGGCTCAGGCCCCTCCTTCAGGTCCCGATGTCTCAGGACCTCACAGCCAAGTGAGAGATGGACACATTAACTTAAAGTCCTGGGAGAAGTTTCCAAAGCGGTTCTGCTAACATATGCAGATGCTAATGTCATCACAAGGCATTTTCTAATTCAACCGGCCTGTCGTTCTTCACCGAGCACACTCTGCAGAGTCCGTTCTCCCGAGCAGAGGGACCTCCTCCAGCGAGACGCACCTGCCCCATAAATATGCTTCTCTTTGGTGTCTGGGGGCGGCTCTCACTTACTGGAGGAATGAATTATGAATTCAATCAAATGTATAATGAGACTTCTGGAGAATGAAGAGAATGAAGTTTGGAATCTAAAGTAACTATTCAATAAACTCATTTCCAACCCAATTCAGCTGTGTTTTTCACAAACATAAGAGATAAGGTCCTAAAGAAAATATTCTGTTTTATCATTTAATCCCAAACTATGTTTTGACATTTACCGACTCCTGATTTATGGAGCAAAGAATAGGATGCAAAAAGGAACTAGAGAAAGGATATAAACTTAGGTGGATAAAGGTAGTAATAATGTTTATTTTATCACAAACAACAACAACGGAGTCGTGCGCGCTGAACACAGAATTTATCAGTAGGGCCAGCACCCCGGCAGGTGAGACAACAAATTCATCTGTCTCGGGAAGTTTAATACAAGTTTAATTCTTTACTCCAAACTAAAATATCAGTTTGTTGATAGTCCTCACAGTACTTGTTATGTAAGAAATGAGCCTAATTTTTGAAAATGATTTTATTAAGTTCATTCGTTGTGATATACCTGAACAATCTGTAGGAATCGCTGAAGGAACGGCCGGGCAACTGCCAATCACTCTATTACTTATGTTCTTCCGCATCTTAATTTACATGTTCCTTATCGCTTTTTCTAAAACTTTTGAACTTTTTAAAAACTTTAAGCCTTTTTTTTCAGCAAAAATGGGGGGACTGACGATTTTTCTGGAAGGCATTGTAAGCTCAGCTGACCATCGGTGCCGCTCTGTGGCCCCCTCACAGGGTTTCACAGATCCGTTTCTAGGGAAGGGGTTTTGTGCTCAAAACTGATCAACTCTTTGTCCTTTCTACCAAGATAAGTGACACCCAGGACCCAGGAAATAAATATTCCAAAATGCATCTTCTGGTACGTATAAACATATGTGCGGGAAGGTGGAAACAGGCATGGTCTTGGATGTGAAGTCTACAGGGTGGCAAAGCCAACCTACAAATACCCAGAATGGCAGAGTGTGGGCCACGACCTAACATACTTATAGGGCAAAAGCTGAAAAGCCAGCACACGAGGAGCCTAGAATGCGGAGCCAAAATGTCCCAGACCTAATCTAGATCCCCAGTCGGTATATAGATCTGTGACCCTCGCCAGACAAAACCTGCCCACGAGGAAGACAAGAGCGAAGCCGCCCCAATGCATGCAGAGGGGAGAGGGGAGAGCGAGCACCGGACAGCAAAGCGAGGAGAGACTGCAGGTTTGCCCTCTCCACCCAGAATCTGCCAGGCTCCTGCAGCCAGGGCCTGACGCCTTTCATCCACCAGGTGAAATCGGCTGTTCTGCCTCACGCAGCGGCAGCGCCTGCTCATTCCAGGGGTCCCCCCTTCACCTGCGCTCAGCACCCACCACCCTGGGGTCTCCCGTCTGTGCTCACGTGGGATTCTTCAGACGCTTCCCGGACTGCGACTTTCGTGTCTAATGTGTTGTTTGCCCAACACACAGAGATTCCGGTTCCGTGCTTGGTTCTCATCTTTATTTCAAGACGTTCCCTGCTTGCAGGTCTGCTGGGTCCTCTTCTCCCCCGTCACACTCCCATAACCTCTCGTGTCTAGAGGCATGGTAAACACCTGCGCTGCAAAGCTGCCCGTTTTAGGTCAACGTTTGCATGGGTCTCCAAGTCCGCTCGTGAAGATGTGACTTCCCGGTGCTCGTGCAGAGCAGGGGAGAGAGTTGGGGCTCCCGTGCCCGCCCAGCCCCTGGACTGTCTCCCAAGGTGTCAGGCAGACACCAAACCAGGCCGTGCGCAGGCAGACGCCAACTCCCTGTTCATGCCAAGTTGGCAGTCCTCCTCCTCTCCGGCGGACATTCCGCTGGCTCGTCCCCCTGCATCTCATGCTCCCCCTGCGGGGCTCCCGGGAGCCTCCCCTCGGCCCCATGCGAGCAGAGGAGCGGCTGAGATCCTGCCTGACCTCTGCCACTAACTGGGAGCTGAGCTCAGACACTCCTGAACCTTTGTGTC